CCCAATGGCCACCCGCCCGAGAAGCCCGCACCCCCTCGAGCCCGTTTCTCTACTGCTTGGGGCATGACGGGCGTCATGGCCCCCGCCCCCCGCCCCTCTATGACGTAACGCTCCCCCCCCCCCAGTGCGTTCCGGGCGCTGCCGCCGTGCGCATCGTGATCCGCATAGGTGTCCGCGTAAGAATCCACGTAGGAGTCTGGTTCGCAGTCGTCGTCGTCGTCGTCGTCGTCGTCGTCGTCGTCGTCGTCGTCGTCGTCCTCGTCGTCGTCGTCGTCGTCGTTGCCCTCGTCGCTCGTCGTCATCGTCGTTGTCCTCGTCGCTCGTCGTCGTCGTCGTCGTTGTCCTCGTCGCTCGTCGTTCGTCGCTCGTCGCTCATCGTCGTCGTGCGCGCGGATGCAGCTGGAGCCTGTTTTTTTATTCCGGGCCGATGACGGCAATCATCTGGGGGGTGGGGGGGAGGGGGCCGATGACGTCACGTTTCGCGCCGGCGGCGTCTGGGAATGCTTAAAAATCACCGAGGACGGGTAGCAGCAGCATGTTGGTGGCGATCTGCACCACAACGCCTGTGTACAACATAGTGCCTGCGTGCACCACAGCGGCTGTGGACACCACACCGCCGATGTACACCACGGCAGCCGCGTGCATCACAGCGCCAGTGTGTGCCGCAGTGCCTGCTGGCACCACAGCGCTTGTGTGCACCGCAGCGCCTGCGTACACATAAGTCGTGTGCACCACAGCACCAGTGTACACCACAATGCCTGCGGGCACTCAGAACGGCACCAGTGAATAGACCATTCCGCGGTGCACGCTGAGACGCGCACGTGCGCTGTAGTGCCGACCCGCACGACAGGGGGGAAGGGTGAGGGAGGAGGACGAGGAGGACTCGGAGAAGGAGGACGAGGAGGAGGAGGACGAGGAGGAGGAGGCGGACGTGTAGGAGGGAGGGTGGAAAAACGTCGCGTTCTATTGTCAGCACTTCTCTGGCGTGGCGTTTAACTGTCCACAGCAGATCCTCACCGACATGTTCCTTCTTTTTTCCTGTGCACGCAGGCACTCCTGTGTACACCAGCGTTGCGTTGCACGCGGATGCTGTGGTGTAGACAGGCGCCGTGGTGTGCACAGGCGCTGCGGTGCACGTAAGCACTGTGGTGTACACAGGCGCTGTGTTGCACATGGCTGCTGCGGTGTACACATTCGCTGTGGTGTACACCGGCGCTGTGGTGCACGTAAGCACTGTGGTGTTCACAGGCGCCGCGTTGCACACGGCTGCTGCGGTGTACGCATGCGCTGTGGTGTACACAAGCGTTGTGGTTCACGCGAGCTCTGTGGTGTACACAGGCGCTGTGGGGCAGATCGCCACCTACATGCTGCTCGCGTCGTCGTCGTCGTCGCTTTTCGCTCGTCGCTCATCGTCGTCGTGTGCGTGGGCGCGGCTGTTGTGCCGGAGCCGCACGGCGGGGGGGCGGCGTTACGTCGTACCCCCCCCGCCCCCCCCCGCCCATGACGCCCGTCATCGCCGATGATAAATCAACGCGTTCTTCGCGCAACGCCCGTGAGCGCGCTGCCAAGGGTTTTCCTCCCCCCCCACTTCTCGGAACCCGTCAACGTGCCACTCCCTTCGTTTTCGCCCGAGGACCTGGTGCCTCCTGGACAGTGTGACAGTGACACTCCACGCTGCTCTGTTCCCCACGGCAGCATGCCCTCGATACTGTTACGTCGGGCATGTCCCTCTACAGCAGGAATCTGCAAAAATAGTAGGGAAATAGTATGGGGACTATTTGCTGATTATTTGTGACTATGTTTGGTTATGTTTTGAGTATATTTGATTATTCGCACAAGATCTCCCTGTAGGAGGACATGCTGGACCTGACGATACTGTCAATCACCACCCACCAAACCACCCCAACCCAACCCGAAGGCCCCAGTTTGCTCTCCAGTCCCACCCTGGTGAGGGGGCGCTGGGGAGCATCGAAAAGGACATGCGGCACCCGCTACCCCCCCGCAATCCGAAATTCGGGCCTTCGGGTTAGGTTGGGGTGGTCTGGCAACCAATCAGGAAGTCAGTCAAGACGCTGAAATAAGGGCCCATCTGGGCTCATGAGGGGCTCTGGTTTTCGGGCCGTCCTTTGGGCCTGGATGAAGGCTCGAGGTGGCCAGAAGAGGCCCTTCGTTCTTTACGTGGCGCTTCCTCTGGCAGAACGGCGGCGGCATTGCCTTTGCTCCCCCACTCCTCGGGCCGCGCCCGGAGGACCTCCTCGCCCTCCTCCTCGCCCTCCTCCTCCTCGCCCTCCTCCTCCTCCTCGCCCTCCTCCTCGCCCTCCTCCTCCTCCTCGCCCTCCTCCTCGCCCTCCTCCTCCTCCTCCTCCTCCTCGCCCGACTCCGTGTAACTTGTCCTCCTCGCTCCCTCCCCCATCGCCCTCCTCGCCCGACTCCGTAACTTGCCCTCCTCGCTCCCTCCCCCTATCGCCCTCCTCCGCCTCGCCCTCCCTCATACCCCCAGGTATAGGACCGCCGACATAGTCGCCGCCATCTCCCAGTGCGAGGGCAGCACCCCGAGGGCCGTGAAGCTGCTCTGGGCCCGCTGCCCAGAGCGCAGGCCAACGGCAGGCGCCGACGCCGGCGCACACGGCGGCGGCGACGACGGCGGTGGCGCCGACGACGGCGGCGGCGACGACGGCGGCGGCGCCGCCGCCGCCGCCGGCTCTGGTTCTTGGCGGGTGTGCTCTCCAGCAGCTCCGCCACGCCGAGAGGCGTCCAGGGCTGCCTAGATTGTCCCGAACGGCCGCCACTGGCCGGAGTTATGATCCGAAGACAACGCAGCGGCGGCGAGGACGACAGTGGTGCCAGCGGCGGAGGGAGGGGTGAGAATTTTGGGGAGGAGGGAGGGGGGAAGGGGCATTTGGAGGGGGGGCATGGGTAGGAGGGACGAGGGAGGGCGGGATCACCCCAGGGACCTTCCGAAATAGGGGAGGACATGTTTCCCCAAGCAGTGTTTGCTTGTACTTAGGTGTTCTTGCTTCTTTTTCTGCTCGAGGAATCGGATCGGTCAGCCCATGTTTCGCCTTGTGCCCTCGTGCCCTCCCGTGGTCGCTTCGTGGGCGCCTCGTGCGCTGGGTGTGTCTCAGGAGGGGAAAAGACACAGACACTATTAATCGACGACTCCCAGGAAAATAAAGAAAAACTATGGGAATTGTGGGGGAAGACGAAAACCCAGAAACTATGGGGAAATATGGGGAATCCTGTTATTTGTGTGTATTTACTTGTGTGTCCCAGGGCCCCGTTAGTGTCACCCGAGGTTCCGCCCGGTGCCCGCCCACGGGCGCCTTGTAGGCGCCTCGCGCTCTGGGCGGCCGCACGGCTTGCGCCGCGTGTTTCAGCGCACAGCTTGCACCGCACAGCTTGCACCACACAGCTTGCACAACACGACTTGCACCGCATATATTGCACCAACTAGATACATGCATACATACATACATACATACATACATACATACATACATACATACATACATACATACATACATACATACATACATACATGTATAGATATGCACGCATCGATTCATATGTGCATATAGATGCCTGCATTGCATCGCATAGCTCATATTCCTACCATACATGTGTATATATGTACATATATATATAATATATATATATATATATATATGCATATGTATACACTGGCATCGCATAGCTTACACTCAAAGGCTTCCACCACATACGTGTTGCGCACAGCTTACACCTACACGACATACCCATAGCCAACATCACACAGCGTGCACCGTGTAGCCTGCACCGCATACATTGGCTTACAGCGCTTACACCACGTAGCTGACACCGCATACATTCTAGACGCTTCGCGCAACCCCACCAGACCATCTAGAAACGATGTCCAGGCGAGCTGCCCTGATCAGGGATGTGCAGGAGCATGCCGTGGAGTAGAGGTCTGGGGAGAAGCCGCCGTACTCGTACGTCGAGACGGGGGGCGGGGATGGGGGAGGCATCGGAGGAGGAGGGCGAGGGGGAGGGGGAGGAGGTCGGAGGAAGGAGGAACAGGCCGATGAGGAGGAGCAGGAGGGCGAGCGAATCACGCCTCGGGTGCGGCCGGCCTGCCGACAAAAAAAAGGGCGAGCGAAGAGGCCAGAGACCTCCTGGATGCCTCTCGCGGTCTCTTCGGATGTCTCCCGGGAGCTGCTCGGAGTACTCTTCGGGCGTCCTGGGGGCCTCTTCGCCGGGGCGCCTCTCGGAGCGTCCTGGGTGCCTCAAGGGAGGCCTCCTGGGGCATCTTGGGGGCCTCTTGTTTGCAGCCTGCTGGGGACCTCTCGGGAGCCTCTCGGAGCCTGCGGGGCTCCTTGGGGCCCTCTTGGGGCGATCTTCGGAGCCTCGGAGCCTTCGGGGCCATCTGGGTGCCACCTTGCAGAAGTGCGATCAAAGAAGGGGAGAGCCTTGATTAGCATCGCCCCCCCCCCCTCCCGGGAGGCTGACATAGGGCTAAAACCTAAGTAACACCAGTTATGTGAGCCTCCTGGCCGATACCTTCTTGGACGCTGTGATACCTCGCGGCCCCTCCCCTCCAGATCCCGAGGAGGGGGTCGGAGGAGGGGTCAAGACTTTTTCTGCTCACAGAGCACAAGCCGTCTCACTCACTCCCAACCGCCCTCCCGAGACATCAGCAGCGTCCGAGTGTCCTTGTCAAAAACCACTGCAAAGCGGTCGCGGGGCGCCCGCGCATGCTCCAGATTTGGAAGCAGAGTGCATGTTGTATTCTAAGGAAGCACGGGGTGTTCGCCTTCGCGCAGCAAGCAATGTGAGGGCACACCCGACGTCCCCGTCAAAAACTTTGGAAAGTGGTCGCGGGTCGCCTGCGCGTGCTTCAGATTTGGAGGCAACGTGTATGTTGTATTGTCTTTTAAAGGCATGGCCGGCTTGCGCGCAGCAAGCTGTATCAGGCCCCCCCGCCGTCCCTGCCAACAAAAACACTGCGAATTGGTCACGGGGCGCCCGCGCATGCTCCAAATTCAGAGAGAGAGAGAGAGTGTATTTTGGATGTTTCTTTGAAAGGTATGGTTGGCTCCCGCGCAGCAAGCAATATGAGGCCCCCCCACCACCGCCCCTGAGAAAAAGCCAATGCGAAGTGGTCGCGGTGCGCCCGTGCATGCTCCAGATTTGGAGGCAAAGTGTATTTTGTAATGTTTTTGGCAAGGATTGTGGTGGGGGGTCGGCAATGTTTCGGGTTGGCTGGCGGTCGCCTGGGGGAGGGGTCGTTGTTCAACAGGGAACAGTGATCAAGACATCTCTCCCAGACGCAACTTGTTTGGCTCATTCCCACCCGCCTTCCCAGCACATAGTAGTACCCGAGTCTCAGCATATTCAACGTCGTCTTTGGATTGACAGCTACTGGGAACCAATGCAGACCCCAGGTGCGCGGCGCTGGGGCAAGGGCGGAGTGGCCAAAACGGTGTCTGGCGAGCATGCACACGGCATGCAATGCTGATGGTCTGGCGAAAGGCCCCGATAGCGAACCTGCACGCTCCTTTCGATAATGGCCAGGACCCCAGGTAAGGGGACCCGGTTAGTGGTAGGGCCCCGGAGCCTTCGAATTGGCCAGAGTCACTTAGCCAGGTCTGCCATAGCTGGTGTTTCTGCGGGTGACGGCAGTTCCGGTTAGTGGACATGGGACGGGGGGGGCGCCCCCGGTACAGATCGCTAAACCAGGCTCCACTAAACCCAGTTCTACCGACGCCCGATCCTCGGCGGGGTGGGCCACCGGGCCTCCCCCTCGGCGCTCCAGTGGGCGACTGCTGGGCCGAGGCGCAGCCCCCCCCCCCAGGAGCCCCTCCCCGCCCCCGCGCGTGCTCGGGCCCTGCGCGGCTCCGAGGCGGCCGCTAATGGGACGAGCCAGGGAACACACGCGCAGAGCGCGCGAGGCGCAGCCGCTGGGAGGGCCTCCCGAGGCCGGGCAAGACTGCCTCGGGATGCAGGCGGCGGCGCCCGAGAGCCCGTTCTCGGGACGTGGTTCGGGCGGGGCCGGGACGAGGAGAAGTCCATTCCAGAGCGCTCCGGGGCACGCGGAGCGTTCCAGAACGCTCCGAGGAGGCCGCTGCGCCTGCGGCGTCCTCCAGGGCCGCTGGATCTCAAGAGATTCTAAATCTATCCTCGTCCGAGTTTGCACGCCTGTTATTGAAAGTGGGCATTTTCGGATGCCAGAATTCTAATCTACTGTAGGCGCCTTTCTGCTTCAAGAGTCAAGCGGTTGTCCCTCTTCCCTCCTCTTCCGGGGTGAGGCCGAAATCCAGTCTGCTTCCAACGCTTTCTTACTTCATGATTCCAATCACTTCTGCCGACCGACGGGTAGCCTCATCCTGGCTTCGCCTTACCCATCGGTCGTGGACGTGTACCATGCTATCATCAAGCCCGGGGCTCCGATTCCAACGCAGTGGAAACACACAGTCATGAAAGTATTGTTCAAAGACGGGGGCCCCACGCAGCCATCCAACTATAGACCTATTTGTACAACACCAGCTTTATACAACCTGTTTGCTCGACTTAGATACCGAAGGTTGGACAAGTACCTGGGGCCAGAGCAATCGTGCGACAAAGCTGGATTCAGAAAAGGATTTTCAACAATCGATCATATATTCATTTTGTCACGCATTCAGGAGAAGGCCGACGAATTTCAACACATCGTATGGCATTGCGCGCTGGGCTTCAAGAAGGCGTTCGACACAGTTGAACACGGTTCTCTGTGGGAAGCGTTTCGAGGCCAGGGTGTTCTTGTTCGTATATTCAGTTGCTACGCTCTCTGTATGCGGATCAATGTGGGCGTCTGCGGACAGACGTGCTCAGCGACGAATTCAATATACAACGTGGGACAAAGCAGGGCGATCGATTATCTTCTTTGCTATTCAACGTTTTGCTTGAACACTGTCTCAGGCCATTCAAAAAAGACTGGTATAGGAAACGCGACGGTTTACGATTGGACCCGCTGAACAAAGACAGGCTCGCAAATCTGCGTTTCGCAGATGGTGTGTTCGCCGCGGCACCCACACTACATCAAATCAAGCAGATGCTGTCCGACATCCAGAGATCCACCGCCAACGTGGGCTTATCTTTACACCCTGACAAGACAAACACATTCACAAATGCGAGCAAGAAGCCTGGGAGACAAACGGCGGGTTCGGTGCATGTAGATGGCTGGGAAATCGAGATTATTCCAAGGACATAGGGCGCCTCGTATCTTGCGACAAGCCTTTCGAATGCGAGCTCAACAACAGAATCCAGACAGCATGGGCGGCATATGGCTTACATAAGCAAGAGTTGACCAGCAGATCTTATCCCTCAGGGATCGAATCCGGCTGCTAAACAGCGTAGGGGGCCACATGCGAACCCTACCCCTACCCCCCTACGAGCTGAGGGGGAGGGTGGGGTTCACTTCCTTCGGGAGCTCCCGAGCGATCTGAACCCCACCCTCCGGTCAAAAATCGTGGGGGTATGGGTAGGTTTCGCATGTGCCCCCCTCATCAGGCACATGTTGGGAGCAAAGCGAAAAGCAATACACGCGGATGACGTGGATAATGTTGAGGTTGATTGTGCCGACGTGGACAGCAGCCCAGAGCCGGAGCAGGACTATCCATCACCGGGCGCTTCGGAAAGTACGCGTCTGGAGCCTCGGGCCGAGTTTAGCCGAAGGGCGACGAGGGCAACATAATATCACCTACAAGCATCCCATGTGGAGCCATGGGTGCACCAGCAGAGGAGACGCAAGTGGCGATGGGCTTTCCGAGTGGCAAACATGGAAGCGGGCCGCTGGGCTTCGCAAGTGATGTATTGGGATCCGGCGTCGACTTCTATATCAACGCGTCGTGCGACCGGCAGACCGAGAAGACGCTGGGATGACGACGTCCGCGAGTACATATACACGCAAGGTGTTTACACTTCGTGGCAACGTTGTGCGTCATCACGCGATGTTTGGAATGAGTTAATTAGAGGATGGGAGCGCGACGAGGTAGTTTCTCAGCTGGGTAGTTTCTGAGCGACGAGGTAGTGGGTCGTTTCTTGTCCCCGCCGCGTGACCGATAGGGTCGTGCGCGCCGCTTTTTCTGGCCAGGGGGGGAGGCGATTTGTCTGCCGCCTGTTGGCGGAAATCTGGAGCTTTAGTGAATGTTATATGCGGCGAGATGCGTATTTTCCTTACGCTTTTTCCTTAACTTGTTAATGCAGCGACAACCCAGCTTCTCCAAATGCGGGGGGCCGCGTGTCCCAGACGCCTTCCCTCTTAGAGGACCGCCCCCATGGGGCTGGAGTGCGGTCCTGTCTGTATGTCTGTGTCTGTCTTAAACAAGGTAGTTCAAGAATCTCATATACCAATACACTTGAAGCGCCTTTTTACTTCCGTGATCGAGTGGCTTCACATTTGCCGTCCCCCTCCGGGGGCGGGCGGAACCCAATCCATGTTCAACGCCTTCCTGCTCGATCCATGTCTCTACCCACTCCTTCCGACCGCTGGGTGGCGTTCTTCCCCCCTCCCGGAGCCCATCCCCCCCGGACGTTGCCCCCCGACGTCGCTTTTCCGGGGCAGGGCGAGCCACCCGCCCCGGCGCGGACGCCACGGCCCCCCCCCCCCCGCCTGCCCCGACCCACCCCAGGGGGAGAGATGCAAGGAGGGCACGGTCGTCGTGGGAAGCGATAGGGGGGGATGGGCATAGGGGGGACGCATCGGCCCCCAATCGCCCTTGGATCGCCGATAGGGGCCCGATAGCCCCGACCTGCCCAGGAATGTGCGGATCCATTTTCGGGGGCCGATCGCCGACCGACCGGCGATGCATCGCCGATTCCAGGACGATGTTTCCCCCCTATGCCTATCCCCCCTATAGCCTATAGTTGCAACTCAGGTCGGAGCGAGGCATACGGTCGAGGTCGGTTCGGTGTTTTTTGTGTTTGTTGGATGTTCTCTGGCGTCCTGGGGGAGGGTCTGCCCTCGGATGTTTTCTGTCTGGCGGGCGCAGGCCCCGTGTTTTGGAAGGACGCTTTTCTGTCCCGGGTCCGACCGTACCGCACAGATGGGGAACCCCAAAAAGGGTCGGGGGGACAAACAAAAGCGTGCCTCGTCCGCCCCGACCATCCCCCAGGGGAGAAACACACACACGAAGGGTACCCAGGGAAACGAAATGGTACAGCTCCGAGGGGGGGGGAGGGGGGGGAGGTGGGGGGAAACGGGGTCGGGGGGACAACAAAACAGAGCGCGCCTTGTCCGCCCATCCTTCGTCCGCCGTTCAGCGTCCGCCACCACGCGCGTAGCGTTAAGTCGAGCATGTCCCGCTATAGAAAGAATATTCAAAAATAATCAAACATACAATGGGGATTATTGTTGTTACGTTTTTGGCCATGTTTGAGTATTTTTGATTGCTTTGCATTTTTCCTCCGAAATCCTCCTGAAGGACATGCCCGACCTCAGCGTAGCGACCGCGGCGCCCGCAGCGCCCGGCATCCGCCCGCCCGCCGCCACCGCGCCGCCGCGAGGCGTGCCAGATGCCCAGCCGCAGCCGGCGGCTGGCCGGGCCGAGCCGAGCGCCGCCGCCGCCGCGCGGCCCCCAGGGGGCGAGGAGCGCTGCGCCGACGCGGCGGCTGGGGGGGGCGAGGACGAGGACGAGGACGAAAAGGAGGAGGAGGAGGAGGAGGAGGTGGAGGAGGAGGAGGAGGACGAGGAGGCGGACGAGGAGGAGGACGAGGAGGAGGACGAGGGTGAGGGCGAGGTCGAATACGAGAAGGAGGAGGAGGACGAGGACGAGGAGGAGA